CTTAATAAAATTTGATATTGCTTTTATATCATTCTAATGAAAGACATGTATGATCTCTCCACGTTCAGTTGGTTCTTAACTATGTTATGTTCTCAGAACACAAAGTCAATGCATCAACTGAAAAAGAATGTTTTCTTTTCAAAACACTATGCCTAGTTGTATGGAATCACTGTCCATGAGTCCATGAGTTCATTCAAAGAATTGTGAATAAAAACTAATACTGACAAAACATTAATTTAATATGCATTGTACATCAATGCAGAACTTGTTTGACAAAGCGTTAATTTAATATGTATTTTACATGAATAAAGGACATATAAGACTAATGAAATTCAGTTAATATGGATTGTACATGAATTTAGGACTTATATGTTTGACATTTCATTAATTTCATATTTATTTTATATGAATAAAGGACATATATATTTAATGACATATTAAGTTAATATGCATTATACAGTATATTTATTTTAAGTGTCATATAAAGAGCTTTTGTGATTTGCGTAAAACACAAAATAGTCACATGTTATTTTTAATGGGCAATGGTGGCGCAGGAGGTACTGTTATCATTCGCCACTGGAGGGATGAAGGTTAGAGCCCCGGTTCCTCCTGACCCCATCGAAGTCTCCTTGAGCAAGACACTGAACCCCAAATTGCTCCCGGTGTGCAGGTTGGCGCCTTGCATGGCAGCCTCCACCACTGGTGTATGAATGGGTGTGTGGATGGGTGAATGTGAGGCATGAATTGTAAAGCGCTTTGAGTGCTTGTAGGAGTAGAAAACCGCTATATAAATGCAATCCAGTTTAAATATGGGTGTTTTCAGTTCTCTTCACCATTTTGCCAAACCCATACCCAAAAAAGTCCCTGTTCAAGCCCTGAGTTACATGGTTCTGCCTGCTATCTAGATAGAAGCAAGTCTGACAGCTGTAGTATGCAGGCCTACGTACCTGATGAGCAAGCACAGGTGAAATTACGACCTTCATTGCCCTCCCTTAAGTCACTGCATGTGCCATTGTTCTTGCAAGGGTTCAGGTGACATGCATCAAACTCTTCACAGAAGATTCCCGAATACCACTTCTCACACTCGCAGTAGAAGGTGTTCTGGAACACAGAAATTAATAATACAATTCTACCAGTTGAAGACTCAGAAAGTTGTTCACTATATAGTATATGCTATGTGCTGTAAAAATAGAGATCTACTACTCATGAAATTAGAGTAATCCTTCAGCAGAATATTATTCCATAATAAAAATGCTATAGGTGAGAGAGTGCATAATTTCATTCATCCAAGTTTAAACTGTAGCGTGTTGTGAAACACATATCAATAAACCAGGTAAGAAAATATATCTATGTTTGAATAAGCAGGCTGGGGAGCCTCTCAGATATGTGTATTTCATATCTCTTTGAAGTATTTTATAGTTCATAATTCACTCATCTGAGATAATGGTCATGTTACAGTGGTTCTCTATTAAAGACATGACATGAAACATGCACCATACACTATACAAACTACAAACAGTTCTGTAATGATAGCAAATCAGAATAATCATACATTATAGGTTTTAAAATTGCAGGTACCTTCTTTATACAGCTGTTATATAAAATGGATGTGCACAGATGAAAGCCAATATGCTTTACCTGAAGACAGAACCTGCAGATGACCAGCTGTTTTCTGTGTATTCATTTGTGTGAGAAATGGGCAGTATGACAGAGCGTTGCCTAGCCTTTCCATTTGGAGATATTGTTTAAATTAATTTTTTTGCTGCTGTAGTGAAACTGAAAAAAGTCCATGTTCTTGGTAGCTTCAGTGTACATACTGAACTGTCCAGTACAGTGCAGAAAAAAACAAATGCGAATTTAATTAATGCAAGTAAATAATAGTATCCATAAAATGCTACTAAAAAATGAAGCAGTTATCATTTGACGCTTTTGGGTCCCTTGTTGACTCCCTCGGTGACCCTTCTTTTGATCTTACTGCTGTGTAGTGCAGTCTATAAATACAAATAACTATACTAAAATGTTTTGTGCATTATTGTATATCTCTTGTGGCATTCAGAATTCTCAAAGCCCTAGGGGCACTGACAGACTACACCACTGTATTCCCCTCTAGAAACAGGAAGCATGGATGTAGGAGGGCACGTTTAGATAAGGGTGTTGATACTTATAGTTCTGTTGTTTCTATTATTAGATTCCCAGTTGGTTATTTATCAGAGGATTGGTCATGATTCATGTAGTGTGTGTGTGTGTGTGTGTACAGAACTGTGCATAAATCTTAGGAAGTCAAACGAAATTGTACAGCTATTTACCTGGGTGGTCAGGGCACATTTGATCAGAACAACAAACAATTTAAAAAGATAACATTAGAACATATGCAACACAATGAAATCTAGCAAAAATTTCTTTTCATCCCCAAAAAGTTACTGATATCAAGTTGGATGTCTAGACAAACACGGCTTCAGTTTCTCAAACCTCTCTTCAGGTTTTGAAATGGCTAACACACTTTGACAGGCATAATTGCATAGTTTTACACCAACATACAGAATACAATTTAGTATTAGTATTTATGCAAATTTAGAGTAACACCATAAAACAAGAATTTCTTCTGTTATCCAAAAAGTTACTGATATCTTGTTGTATGGCTAAAAGCAAACCACTTCAGTTTCCAAACTTCTCCTCAGTGGCACCCCAGCTCCTAAATTAGTGAATAAATTAGTTTTAAAAAACAATGAGGTATTCAATAGCTATATGAGGTGTGCAAGGTCAAGTTAGAAAATATATAGGAGTATGGGATGGTTGCTGAACAAAACTGGGGTAACTTTAGGAGAGGGTTTGACATGTTTGAGCTAAAAATACTTTGACAAACACATTATAGCTTTTTGACAACATAAAGATCATTTAAACATCATTTTCTTTGGCTGCCTAAGACATTTGCACAGTACTGTGTGTGTGTATGTATGTACATATCTTTTAGCGATAGAGAGATGCAGGTGAAACAGGCATGTCCTACTTTGGCGAAGCCTCAGTTCTGACTGCCTACCTTACTTGGCTGGGTGACACATGTCCCCTTTCCAGAACATTGTGGGTCATTGAAGTGGCTTCCTGGCTCTGTGCAGCTGCTGGCTTTCATTGTAACTTGCAGAAGCAATGTCACTGTGTCACCATTGGCAGTGTCATCATGCAGGACACCTGCATGGGAACACAAATCATGAGCAAAATGCTCTACCTGGCACCACATGAGATTCAAATAATTTGTATACACATAAACACATGCTTCCTTAGATAGGCTCCAGGTTCAACCATGAACTTGTATCAGATAAAGGGTCATGGAAAATGGATGGAAAAACTCAGTTGTGACTGCTAACACTTGTTTTTTTATTGGAGTTAGCTAAATGAAGCCAGTTACTGGCAGTAGTAAGTACTGAACGTGTTTTTAGTAAGGGAAACATCTACCACCTGCAATGAATTGGAAGGTAGAATTACAATACATGGATAAAATAACAAAAGGCCCATTTTGGTTTCATAAATTCCAGGACAGTCTATACTGTGTCTATAACAGTGTCTATACTGACAGCTTTGCACCAGTGGAGTGTAGTTTGAAAAGCCCAGTGTGCTACAGCAGCCAGGGCTATAATCAAGGAGAAACCAAATTAAATGGAATGCCATTCGCTGTCAGAATTTCCTCGTTGGGTTATAAAATAGGATCATTAAAGACTGTCTGTCTTTGTGTCTGTCTGTATATCTACCAGTTAGAAGATACAATGCTAAATTTTAAGGAAAAATATATTTGTTGTGTCATCATTTTGAAGAACAATATACTATGAAATGTTACATAAAATTGTGGACAAATTAATTCAAATATTTTCATTTTTCGGGAAAAGATGTTATAATAGGAGAAGTATAATTAAATTTGAATACCGTATGGGTTGAAATAAAGAGCTTCATTTACATTTATTTATTTAGCAGACTTTTTTCACAGTTACGTACAAGTGAGGTAAATAGTTACAGTTTTCAATTGTATTTTTAAATAACTTTGTTCTCATTTACTATAGGTTTATAAATTGGTTTGCTCATATATAGAGGCTCAAATAATTTTACCTCACAGAAGTCTAAGTTAATGAACTCTTTCGAATATATTTTTATCCCTTTGTCTGCTACATTTATTTTACACATCCATTATTAATTTTCAATTAAGAAAATGCAGTGACATCAGCACAGTTCTATACATAACAGAAGTAACACAGCTAATAAAATGTATACAAAATGGTTAACAAACCAAACATTCAATATAAGTAATTTAATATTGTAGTTCATACATCAAAAAGATGCAGATAAGAAATACCATATTATACAGCTTCACACAGACCAGGGATAAATGACTCACAGGGGAGACACTTACCCACAAAGTAGCTCTGGCCAAGTGGAAGGTACTGCTCTGTCAGAACCAGACCATCAGAAGCTTGCTGGAGCCAGACTACCGCGCCATCTGAGACTGTGCAGTGGTGAAATGCACCCTCACTGACACGCCACAAACCTGTAATGCCAGTAATGTTTGCCTGGATCCTGCAAAAAAACAACAGACTATGTTACACCCAACTCAAATATCTGTATTCTCTATTTAAATACTCTCTATCCATACTCTTAAATTGTAATAACCTGAACTTTCCACCCATTGCCATACTCAAGTAGTCTATTCCCTCCGTCCCAAACACTCATTTTCTTCAGTCATGTCCCAAAATGATGTATCAGAAATATATGATATAAATAATCAAAGACACTTTGAACATCAACATATAGTGTTAATGTACACAATTGTCCTAACATAATATTTGGCTCTCAGTTTCAGATTAGTCAAAAAGATGTTGTAGTACTGAGTAATAACATAAATTGTGTAATTTTTAATTACCAGTATAATTGTTTCTATTGTTATTCGTATTACTTATTAGTATCAGTTTAACATTGACAAATATCTATCCCAGCCCACGGTGACATGCTTGCAATAGCACCTTCAACTAATGCCTGTGTATCCATTTCTTTGGCCATTTTTATTGGTGACTGCACACAAGAAACAGTCAGTAGCTCAAGAACAACAAAGAACTCATTAGTATTCGGGGGAGGAGGCCATGGCGTCACTGCAGCACATCTCTATGCTGTGAATGTCATTTAGTGGCCAAGGACAGACTCACTGTTTCTGGAAACACTACCAGAGACAAAGACAGTTCTGATGAACATAGGGCTCCTTAATATTTAAATAGTAGAGGGGTATATCTGCAATAACTGAAATCAGTTCGTAATATCCCAAAAATCGAAATGAAAAGGATACAATAAAGTTACAGCAATAATGAACATGTAAAACACAAATGTTTCATTAAATGGAACATAAGGTATGTTCATCTAACTGTGTCATTCAGTCACAACAGTGTAATTAAAATATAACCGACTCCAATGATGCTTAGATGGACAAGGGGACCCTCAATTCTTACTTGATGGCTGTGCCTTCAGCCAACTCTAGGGCTAGATACACAGCCCCTGAAGAATCCCTACCCATCAGGCTCCTGCAGTCTGACATCTCTTGCACCTAAAACAGACCATGAACACCATCATGCTTAATTCACAAGTACTAAGATTTGGCAGTAAAAAGAAACTAGAGTCATTTAGTATGAAATCATGCATTGATTCACCAATCAATCTTCAATTAGCTGACGTCAGTCAAGGTTTCTGTGGATAGGCAGGGTGGGTCTGACTGGGTATAAGTCTATGGTAAACTCTGAATGAGAAGCCAGTATATTGCAGGGAAAATGTACATGAACACATACTCATCAGCTATAAGCAATTTAGAGACACTAATCAGCTTCACTGCTTGTTTTTGGACTACAGGAGGAAACCGAGTAGGTGGAAAACACCTGCATGACACAAGGAAAACATGCTAACTTTAGCACATAGCAAAAAGGGCATGTGCCTTACATTCAACACATTTATTAACTATAACACATTTTGTGTTTTGTACATGCAGTCCCCAGGTTAAGAACATCTGACTTACAGACTGACTAAGTCATACTTGCAAACGGACTGACATAAAGCCAATTATATAAAAAAATTGGGTTCAATGCAATGATTTGAAATAACAAATATATTCACTACTTTGTGATGCTTATGGACACATTGCACAGCTTCAGCAGTTGGTCGGCTTAAGGTACAGTACAGTATGATATGTAGTTACTTTTATTACTGTATAACTATTATATACTGTATTTTTCTCTGACTTACCTACAAATTCAACTTAAAGTCACTTAAGGAACAGATCTTGTTCGTAACCTGGCTACTGCCTGTATCTCAAAAATTGTCTTTGTGCTTCAGAAACATGGTTATTGTTTAATAAGAAAATCATCAACTTTGGGTTGTTTATAGAGTAAGTAAGAAGATATCAAATAGGAAGCAATGACCAGGCAAATGACAGTCTTACCTGATCATTGTCCCAAATCACTGTAGCCACTCTCTGTTCTGTCGTGGGCTGCCATGGCTGCAGTGATGGCAATGCCTGTGTGCTTGTGGGTGCTGTGGTTGGGGTGGCCTGCATGGCCTCAGTAGGTGCAGCTGATGTGACAGCAGTAGCAAGTGTTGCATGTTCCGAGGTCAGAGAGGAAGACTCCCAGATGGTCATGGGGATGTTTGAAGATGGCCGTTCGCACCTCTCCCCCTCGAAACCCTCGCTGCATTCACAGGTGTACACCCCACCCACATCACTGCAATTTCCATGGATACAGGGATTGCTGGCACAGACGTCTACAAAAAACTACAAAAAAAAAGTTCAGTTTCATTCTCAGAAACAGTCCAGTCACTGTGTTGTCATTTCACACAAATGAAAACTGCATTTCTATTGAGCAGTATACAGCTGATATGTATGAGCTATGTCATGTCATGCATAGACAGTGATGCCAGTTGTGCACAACTGAAACTCATGTTCATATACATGTGCACATACTGTACAAGTACAGACACCAAAAGCATTTTAGTAGATTAAATACTATGTAAAACAAAAGTATTCAATGAGCACCACATGTGAAAACAACCTCTTTCAACTGTAACTGCAGGAAAACAAAGAATCTCTGCATGTTAAAGACATCTTAGTTTAACAACACCGATTTCCCGATTTGCTCCAAATTTTAGAAATATCTCAACTAATGACAGTAAACAAGAATTCAGCTACAGTCATCTTTAACTGCTATCATCAATTTCAGGCCTAATTGTCTTCAAATGAGTCACTAGCTTGTTTCCATGTTGTCTTATCCTGATACACAGAAAGGGGATAAGGGGTGAGGGACAGAGATGAAGTGAGGAACTCCTGCAGATAAGACTGAAGCGACACAGATGCCGTTCATTTGTGTCTGGAAAATTACTGAAATAAATTATGGTGAGAACAAATTAAAAAGATTCTCCAGAAGACAATCAAATTTAAATAATTAGTGTAATTTCAGAATAAAAAACTGCTCCTAAATAAAAAAAAAATTTAATAAGTGTGTTTACAGGATGAAAATTAAGAACCAAGTGATTGCTGACTCATAGCATAAGTAATATGTTTGGTGACTTGAGGGTGCACTTGGTGTAGTCAGATGGCTTAAGCAGGACTGTTAATTGCAAAATTTAATCTAGATATTTAAGCTAATTTAGGAAAAATCTGTGTCGTGATTCATTTGTGGGTTGAGAGATGAGTTAGCAATTTATAATTAGCAAATTATTCAGTTGATAAAACACCAAGACATAGCTAGATATGGGTACAGTTAGCTAATCTGGCTAGAAAGACCCTGTTAAATACATGGAAAAATATGATGCCAGAATTCCTCTATGGAGATGGGATGTGCTGATATAATTAGTTGTGTGTGATCTAATGGTGGCCAACAATTAATTAACAAAAATCACCAAAGATTTTGTAATAGAGAAACATAATGAAAAGGGAGAAATGAATTCACAAGAGGGTGCCTTTACAGTGCAATTATGACTATTTCTACAGATCTGAAGGCCACTGTTACCATGGCTACAGTAGCTAGGTAACCAGAAAGCAATTATAGTAGTTTGTACTCACAGCATGTGCATGTGTGTGAGAGAGAAACAAGGAGACACAGACATCAACATTCTACCTAAAATGTGAGGTATAGCCATATATTGTATTGTCCCACGCATCAGCCCCCACAGATTATTCTGCCCACACATTAGATAAAATGCCATTGAAAAGCATCCGGAGACCCCTAGAGGCTTGTGCTGAAGAGAACAACACCACTGCAAGCAAGAATGCAGGTCTAGTGATGTAAACAACACTATTATTCCAATTGACGCAAGAAATCATCTGCCAAATACGCACGCATCAAACAAATGCATATAAAAAGCACATGATACCATTATGATACCTTACCATTACCTGTAAGAATTAAGTTTTTACTTTGAATAAATAGATTGAATAAATTATTTCTGTCTAAATCCCCTGAAATTAATGTATTAATGAAAGAAAGGGAAATTCTTTTTCAGTTAATTTGTTCTGAGAAAACTTTACATATTGCTGGGGGATCGAGGCATCTGAGGAGCAGAAGCAGCCTTGTATGGGGCTGAAAAATCCATAATGGCAACAGTTACCAGCACTCTGATTGTTAAATGATGTTACATAAACACAATAACAATGTGCTCCCTGTCCTAAAACATTCGCCTCCTGCTGTTTTCAGTTTAATGATCCAAAAAAATAAGATGATATACAGGCCCAGCTTACACATGTGGGTAAGTTTACTTTTACCAGAAATACATTAAAAGTTCCATTTACTTACTATATACTTCAAATGCTTCAAAATAGTATTAACCTCTTTCCTTAAAAACTGAATTCTGCATTTTAAAAGGGAAGTAGATTTCCATGGAGAATAGTTTCAATGATGTACACAGACTTTTCAAGGGGTAGGTGCTCAAGCACCTCCAGTTCCCCCCCCATGTACACACCTAGTTTGTAGGGTAAAATCTGAATACAGCTTTCAGTCATTTAAAAGATTTCCTAATCTACTGTATTCGGAAAGATAATTTATAACCTTATAAAAATATATTGCGTTATCAGATATCAAGTTTCTACCTCAGCAGGTATGTAGCTGATAATGCAAATAAAAATGCTCTAAAGCAAAAGCAGCCTTCTTTATGACATTTCTTTATAGCATCTATTTCAGGGACCATGGTCACAAGACCATCTGAATTCCTCTGTGCGACATCACCCTATGTGAATGTCAGGCAGATGAGGGTGTAAAGCCATCCTTTTAGGGCACTCAACATTCATTTCAGCTGCTTAGAGCAGTTAGATCAGAAAATGCCTAAAATCCAAAAGCTTTATTCTGTGAGTCACATATCGACACTTCAATTGCTGATTCAATCTAAAGTTTCATCATTCTTTTCAAATGAAATTATTGCTACTTGTTTAGCAGATTAAGTGATAATTTATTTGCCATCTGCACAAGTACATTGGAATTCTGTAAATTTGGCATATTCCATCTTGCTCCCCTTTAAAACCCACATACATATACAAGTGGGAATACATATACAACTTATATAGCGGATGCTTTTCCAAAATGTACAAGTAAGACAAACAGCACAATACAAACATACAATTTTTTGAGGTGGTTTTCACTCAGAGTTTAAAAGGAGCAATTGTGTTCTTGGCGGCTTAAGAAAAATCAGGAATGTCCTTTAGAAAATAAAATTACTAAAAACTACAGATAAATCTTTTTATATAAATTGTGTTGGATGATCTAATTCACTTTGCTGTAGTCAGATCTAAGTGGTTCAAGCATTTTTGCAGCTTTGGTAAATGGATGGGCGACGAAGAAGCAGCTGAGAAAATCAAGTCACAGCAGCATATTTCAGTAGAACAACAGAAGTAACATAACTAACAACTGATTCACAAGTTATTTCTCCACTGAAGATCTGTAGCTTTTCAGCAGAATATATTCTGCATAAGACCTTGGGGCAGCAGACCTTTGTAACTAGAAAGGATGCTGTCAGAACGACATCAGGGTAGACAGCACCATCCTCAGACAGCACCATCACCCCCTCTCATTTAGTCCAATACTCCTCCCACACCCCCCAACCTTCTAGTTATAAGATGTAATTCTGAAACTACACTTATACCTCAGTTCTCGAACTCATTAGAACTCAAATTTCTTAAAATCAGTTCGAGAAAAAATTAGCTCGATCTGAATCTCAGAAGTCAAACCTTGAACGTCGACCTAAGATAACTTGTACACGCGGGGAAATGAGTCACGCAGCATGTCTCTCAGCGGAAACAAAGGGTAAAGCTTCAGTCTCAGCCTCGTATTCGCTGTGATAGCATCGTGCATGTTTACACTAGCTGAATACATTTATTTAGACAGTAAAAATACATTTAGACAATGATGGACAGTAACAGTAATTATAATAATATTGTCCTGCCAAACAGGGACAGAACGGAGACAAAGGCGCAGACGTCAGGATATCGGGGAATACGGGGTTTAACTACAGGTAAGGCAGGCAAACCGCAGATGGACAATACAATGACCAGACTGGGGAAACAAACTGAAACGCGGACGAAATACAGAGGACTAATGACAACAACCAGAAACAGCTGATCACATGGGGATTCCACACGGGGTTAATGAGGGGGCGTGGCACACGGAAGGAGCGGACGATCGGGGCAGGGCGTATTGTTTTTTTTTTTAACTTTATTTTCTTACTTTACAAATTACTGTTTTGGTAAATATGCTTAGATGTGTTTAGTACAGAATATGCTCTTGTTTTATCCGGTTCATTTTGTGTTTAAATGCTAAAAAAATTGTTTTAATGTCTGTATGCTAAAATTTCATTTATATTATTTATATTCTTCACTTGTCTAAATATTTATATTGTATTTATTTCTCATTTGCACTATGACCAATATTTTCTGTGAGATAAAAGTAAGAGATATAACAGAGCCCTGGGTTTTTGTGTAGGCCTACTTGTTTAAAGAAAACAGGCATGCAAAGGCAAAAGCTGGAGTGAAGTGTAAATACTATGGGGTTTATTTGCTCAAATATTTGTGATAATGCATAATATGTCTCCCATGCCAACTTGGTCTTATTCTGCCACACCTGCCACTTCTACATCACCTGCCACAAATAAAGTTTCAGCCAATTCTATGGTGGAAATTAGGGGAAATTAACTCTGAACACTATAGTCTGACGATATACCTAGGATGTGACAAAAATTACCGTTGAGTCCTTGAATACTGTGCATGGTAACGACCAATATATACATACATCTCAGGTAGTAGAGGGGGAAAGGGGCATTAAGGGGCCTGGAGTCCAACCCCAGCCAGCACACAGAGGCTGGTCATGTTGGAGTAGGCAAACTAACCACTGACCATATCTTTGCTTTTATTGCCATTTCTGGTTATTTCAACCACATTTCACTCTCTTCTATCCTCACTAATTTTTACTGCGGAGGGGGGAGAATGAAAAACAAATAGGTCGAGAGAGCTGGGTGAATGTAGGTCGTAGACGTAGAAAAGCGCGTACACAGTTCACAGAGGCAGCATCACCTGAAGCGACTGTGACTAACTGCTTTCAGGTGCTTCC